TTACTCTCCATGGGATGGCCTTCTTGGCCGATGACTTTCGCTTTGCCCTTTTCCTTCCTCCGGGCATTAGCATGACTTATCCTTTCCCTCCAAGCTCCTTTCCTTCCTTCTTTGGGCGAGATGCCCTCTTTGCTTTCCTGTTTCACATCATCACATGGAACAACAGTAATAGTGGGGTTCACCTTGCAAGGTTCTCCTCCACTTGCATTCATATCACCTGGTTCCACTTTCTTCACATCCTCACTCCTAGGTTTAGGCTCAATTCCAAGAGTAATTCTTTCCTCACCATCCATCAGAATCAAAGTTCCCTCACTTACATCATTTAATGCCTTGGTGGTGGCAAGGAAAGGGCATCCTAGTATGAGTGGCATCTCAGAATCTCACTTATATCCAGGATCACAAAATCCGTCGGATAACAGAATTTCCCAACTCGTACTAGCACGTCCTCCACAATGCCCTTAAGACTAATGATAGAGCGATCGGCCAATGTGACACTAAGCCTCGTATTCTTTAGATCACCTATGTCTAGCCTCTTAAAAAGCTTAAATGGCATCACATTTATGCTCGCCCCTAAGTCCGCCAAGGAATTATCTATGTGATGAGTACCGATGCAAAGAGGTATGGTGAAACTACCTGGATCGGGTTGCTTCTTGAGCAACCTGTTAAGGATGAAGGCTGAGCACTCCTCGCCTAGGGTGATATTGGCGAGGTCTTCAAACTTCGAATTCCTGGAGAGAAGCCCCTTGGGGTATTTTGAATACCTTGGCATGCGGGTCATTGCTTCAAGGAAGGGAATGTTGAGGTGGAGCTTTCGGAGCATCTCCATGAAACCTCCACATCCCGCTTCCAATCTTTCCTTGTTCACCCTCTTGGGAAAAGATAGGGGTGGCGTGTACTCAACCACAAGTGGTGGCGTTGGCGATGCCTTTGTCGCCACTCCTCTCTTCTCCCCCGAGGTTTCTTCTTCTCCACCCTCGGGTAGAGGGTCTTCCTTCTCATTCACTACTTTGGAAACTACCTCCAGAGTCACCTTCCCACTCCTCAAATGAATTGCATTCACCCCGACATGATGCTTGGGGTTGGTAATGGTTTGAGAGGGTAGGGCTCCCTTTGGTCTCTCGGTGAGGATCCCAACAAGATTGTCGATTTTCACTTCCAAGTTTTGGAGACTTGCTTGATGACTTCGGATTATCGCCTCAACCGAGGTAAACTTGGAGGTTGACACATCCATGAATTGCTCAATCTTCTCGAACTTCTGAGAGCTTGTACTCACAAAGTTGGTCACAAGGTCTTCAAGTTTAGAGAACTTGTCGACTTGTTGTTGTTGTTGAAACCCTTGACCACCTTGTGCTTGGTATGATTGTTGGAAGTTCGAGTTTTGGAATTGAGGCCTTTGTTGGATGAAAGTTGGCCGAGGTTGATAGTTTCCCGTTGGACCTTGGAAACCGGGAGGTCTTGGATTGGTACGGGAAGACCAACCGAAGATTGGATGATTGCGCCACCCGGGGTTGTATGTCTAGGTGTCAATCGGTCGGGTTCGGGCGGGTCGGGGCGGGTTCAGTCGGGTTGCGGGTTCATCGAGTTCGGGTTCAAATGGGTTGCGGGTTAGTCAGGTTCAGGTTCAATCGGGTTGCGGGCAAGTCGGGTTGCGGTTTCATCGGGCTGCGGGTCGAGCGGGTTGCGGGTTTTTCTGGTCACCGCATTGAGTAACTTACGCCTTACTCGGTACCAACTTACAAACTTTATTACACTAATTTAAAATATTTTTCTCTATTTTTAACTGACTCACTATGACACAACACCTAACAATGGCCAAGTGTAACCAATGAAAGGAATGCAGTATAGTGGCTCAAGTAATAAATATCGAATCCACGAGTCTCTAGAGTTACTATTACTCAGCTTCAGTTCATTATCTAGCAAACCAGATTAAGATGAAAGAACTAAAACTACTCTAGCAAACTACAGTTAAAGTTAATCTAATTACAGGTTGGGAACTCACTTAGGTATGATTCCCCCTAGCCACTAGCCAGATTAACGATTGATGATCTCTAACTTGTTTCACTTTCATTCACAATGCGGAGAATCCTTGACTAGACCTTGAGTCTCGACTAAAGGAACAAGGCCCTCTTGAGTCAATTGCCTAGAGGGACGTATCCTTCTCTAGAACAACCGATCAAGGCGTTCTGAACTAGACTCCCTCTATCGAATGAGGTTCTCAATCGATACAAAGCAGCGAATCAACCCTCGACTAAAGCAATCGATCCACTACTATCAATCTATGGTGCTCTATTGACCTAATCAGGTATTCGCTCTCATAGGAACAAAGCAGAATCAATAATCTCGACTAAAGCAGAATTGAATGAAAACATGCATAGATTGAATATGAACTCAAGATTATCAAGTCAGAGTACTCATACAATCATCCAATCAAACAAACATAGCTAGGGTTCCTCAAAACCTAAGTGAAGGGAAGTTACTCCATAGAGAAGAGAGAGACTGCAGTAAGAATCTTCAGATGATCAGTCTTCAAGTCCGGGCTAGTTCCTCGAGCTTCCAAGGCGAAGAAATCCTCCAATTCCACTCCAAGAATGCCCTCAAATCGCCCTCTCTTTCTTTGGTTCGTCCCTTGGGCGTTTGGGATCCAAAACCCAGCTCTCTCCTGCAAAAACGCACAAAATAGGCTTTTAACAGCCTGCGTTCACGATAGGAGATTTTTTGTTCACGACCGGGGATTTTGGTTCACGATAGGGGATTTTTGGTTCACGATAGGGCCCCCTTCTGTTTCTCAGAGAAGCCCGAAACCAATTTTCCCCTATCTTTGATTCTTCGTTTCTCCCTCGTTCGGACTCCAAATCAGGTGCCGTTTGATCCCAGACGCTCGTAGTCTCGTCCTCTTTCTTCTCACGACAAGATTACATGATTATATGGTCACAAACTGAGGTAGAAATCCATCTTCTTCAAGTCATACCCGAGTTTCTTCCCCCGAGTCGCCAATTGATCTCCGATTGACTTGAAACTACGCTTCACTTTATGTGCTAGGACCTGAAATGTGACAAAGGAACACAAACTAGCGTAAAATAGGCCAAAGAAGCGATAATGCAAGCTTAAATGATCAAGAAACAAAGGGGAAAACATGTGCAAATATCGAGTCATCATTAACCAATTTATTTCTACGGAGTATATATATTTAATTTATAAAATTTAGTCAAAATGTTGAATCAATTTGTATGACTTGCAAACTTGTTATGTAATTAATCGTAATTGTTAGATTACACTAGCTAATAGGAATGGTGATATCAACATTTGCAACCAAAAGACACCATAAATTGTTTATTTGCTATTTTAGTATTATTTTAGTAATAATTAGATTAAAGTATCTCATTTAGTAGAACCATGTAAATCTTGTATTTAGCAATGACATTTGGTATTTGGCAAAAGCAAAGTGGTAAAAATAGTTATTTCGAAATTACTCATAGCCAAAATAACTTCAGTATAATGTTGCCAAACGATTTATTTGTAAAATTGTTCGAATTACCCTAAATAATGAACCATTAAAGATTGACTATCAAATTTAGTCAAATTGTTATGACTTCGATCATAACTTACTCAATAACACATATCATATACACTTAACCTTACCCTCAATTGAAAATATTAAGTTAGTATATGTTGTTAATCGTATACTCTAAACCAGCAATACATTATACACTAACCACATACTCTATACCCTAACCATATGTCCTTATGATTTCTGGTTTTGCTACTATAGTTAATTTAAAGTGACATTCAAACTTTGATTTTCAAAACACAGATAAAAAAATTTAAATTTGCTATACTCTAACCATATATCCTATACTCTACACCATATACCCTATATTCTAACCACATACCATAAACATAAATTAAACATGGATCTCCTGTCGTTTAAGACTTCAAATAACTTCAAGTGAAAATATGTAAATAAAAAACTTAGAACCGTCAAAACCATCAATACCTTATACCCTAACCATATACACACTAAACCATCTGTACCCTATACCCTAACCAATACTTTATACCCTAAACAACAAACCGGCAAAGATTACTTATAAAGTTTAGTAGAATTGTTGTGACTTCAATCACAACTCTACTCGATAACATATACCCTATAATTGGGTTGCAAGTTGTTCGATTCAGCGCATCGAGTTAGTTACTTCTACTCGTTAATACAACGTACACATTTTTATTACACTAATTAAAACATTTTTCACAATTTTTAGCCAACTTGATGATGTTCACCGATGATGATGTTAACTAGCCTCGAGTAGTTTTACGTCAAAATTTTGTGTCGGGTAGGCAAGTCGACAGATCTTTTCAAGCCTTCCCAAATCCCATTGTAATTCGAGGAGGAAGTTGCTCGTGTTGTTGCTCAAGGCCCAAGGGTGAGACTTCGAGCAAATTGAGTATGGGGTGTTGAGTGTTGTAATGAGACACAAATAAGGTAAATGACGAAGTCATTAGGATTAGCAGCTAGCAATATAATCAAAATCAGAATTTTATGATTTTACCTATGGTTTTCGGTCCTAGTTTTAATATAAAATATTTGAACCTTGAAATCTCATAAAATCTCAATTGAAAAATTTAAAATCTACGATTTTTGAGATTTTATAAAATTTCAAGATTCACACCAATTGAACTAAAATTAAACCGGATTGGATAGAGTTTTACCCATTAGCCGGCTCTCAAAATATCTCATGGTTTTGGCGGAAAGCAACTCTAATTTTCAGTTTTGGTTTGGCTCTCAAAATTGAAAATTTCAGTTTTGATTTTTGAGTTGGCGGAAAGAAATATCTCATCTTCCCTCGTTTCCTTCTTCCCTCTCGCAATTCACAAACATAGCTGCTTGAGCCCTCTGAGCAGAGTAGATAAATCATAAATGGTCTCCTCCCGATTGTCTTCTTCTCGTCCTCACTCTCCGCCACCAGCAAATTCAATCGTTGCCGTAATCCTCTGGCTCTCCACGAGCCTCCTCATCGTCGAAGAAGACTGAGAAGATTACAACGCGACGGCTTCCTCTGCTACATCCATGGCGACGGCCAAGGCCACCAGCTAGGCTCACCACTGCATGTGGTCCTCATATCGAAGAAGGGATGAAGAAGCCATTGGTCCTCCTCACCATTGCCGCTTCATGTCGTTCATTCTCCAATCTCCTGCTGCCGAGTTCCCAGATCCGTCGCCTGACCTCCCTACCACGAGACCCATATCTCCAATGAAATCCCTCCACCAAACCCAAACCTTTCTTGTCTCTTCTGTCTTCTGGTCACCCCTGCCTCCTCCTTCCATATTCCCTCTTTCTCCTCGCCAACTGCAGATGTCCAATCGGAAATCCCTACATCTCGTTAGAGGTAAAAAAAACCCTTGATGCAAATAGCCTCCTTCCTTTAGTTTTTCATGATTTGATTTCTGATTTCATTGGAAGGTTGTGGGAAAAGGGAAAAATGATTCGACTTTGGTTGTGTTCTGGTCTAGATTCTTTCTGAATTCTGTAGGTTTTGTTTTCAAACTTGTGTAGCTCTACGGATTGGAGATATGCAGCAGTTCGTATATATTGTCTTTAGCAGTTCGTATATATTGTATTTCCACTTGCCTGTTTTTTCAGCTCTTATAATACGTTGATATGCTTACTAATTATCTGTTATTTTCTTCTAGCTGCTACAATGATTGATGGTGGGCACAATGTTGATTGCTCAAGGAAAATGGGGTGGTGTCCTTGCTCCCTTTGATATGCTTACTTACTAGACGTTTTGGGATTTCTAGGGTTTGCTTTATAGGATCTACAAATACTATTTGCAATGGGAGGCGAGGCTGCTGATGATGTTTAGATGTTTGCTAAAGGTATTGTCGGAAAGGAGGAATTCCATTGTTGTTGAATGATTTTGTGAATGTAGAGGGAAAGTAATGGAAGGAGAGTAATAGATTGTTAATGAAGATTATTATGGTATTTGCTATTGTATGTTACCAAATACCTCATGAAAATAACTAATTGTTTTGAATCATTGTCACAAGGGCGGACTTGATTTCAAAGTTGTTGGCGGACACGAGTGGATGTAAGATGGGAGATTAGATATTCGTCGCCCGTGGAGCCATGTCATAGCCCATAGTCCTTGGCTCTTCCTCGGTCCCGCTTCCTCATTTTGGTTTTGAAGCGGATTAGCACCTCGATGTTGATTCCCCGCCATCTCAACTTCAACTTCTCCTTCAATTTCTTCAAATCCGGGACAAACTTATTGTCCCCTCTCTTCAATTCTCCTTCTTGCCTCTGCTAGCTCTCTCTCTCTCTCTCTCGAGCTAAAAGTCCAAGAATCCTGTTGATGTCCTTGTCTAGTGGTGTTAAAGGCGCCAGATTGCTCCAGGTCATGCACCTCCCTACACACACTTAAAGAACACAATACGTCTAGCACAATCACACTTCACACTCAGCAAAACTGAAAATAAAAGCAAGATTAACACCACACAATCTTTTTAAGATAACGGATCGAAGTTCCCCGTCAATGGTGCCAAAAACTTGACTCGCTCCGACTATTACAATAAAACCCCACCTAAGGCCCAATTATAAACCTTAGACGGGTGCAATATAGGGTAAGTATGTTTAAATATCAACCCGGGCCGGTCCATGTATCGCCACTTCGATTGTTTGAAACATTATCTAGCGGATTGTTGTTTTTTGAAATCGTTACAATCTACGATTTAAAAACAAGACTTTGAAAAGTAAATGGGTGGAAAACTCTTGGTGAGAAGCTTCACTTGGGTGTTGCTTCCCCCTAACTATCTACCATGAACCGTGGGATCGAATGAACCGGTGTGTGACGAGGCAATTGTGACCCGTAGGAGGTGCAACAATGGTTAGAAATCATCCTCTAAATTGGTTCCAGTTCACGGTCCTGGAAACTGTGAACTCCAATGCTGGACCGTGAACACAGGCTGAATCCTCCTCTTTGTCCGGTCTTTGATGCTTTTCTTCCAACTTTCGACTCCGGGGTTGGTTTCACCTGTTAGACTCTGAAACACACTGAAACACAAGAAACCTAGCGTAAAACCTGTTGGACTTTAAAAAGTCAGAATTGTCTTCTGACCGTTGCTGATCTTCTCCAAAAAGGGAAATTGCTCAATCAAGATTCGTTTTGGAACAATTCTGGGAGCCTTCCTGATTTGGTGCAACGGCTAGCTTCATCACCTTATATATATGTTCCTTTATCAGCAGAGCAGGGTAACTTTTGCGGAGAAAGAGAACTAAGTGGTAAAGGACTTAAGTTCTGCAAGAGGGTGTGCTAGAGGGGAAGAGGTTCTCTAGTGGTTTGGTTTTCTCAGATCAGCTTGATCTGAGGTTTTGGTCCTTGATTCAGTTTATGTTCATCTTCTGCTGTGTTGTTCTTTTCTTTTACAACTTGAGTCTTTAATTTCCAGATTCAATAAAAGGGTCTCCCAGACTGTATTCTGGGACGAGGAAGTATCCATTGCACTTGGGCGAACCTCGTTAAAAACATCGTGTGTTCTTTACTTTTCTGCACCTTCTTCCTTGCACTCTCAGTCGTTGTGTCTTGCTGCTCTGGTTCTGTTCGTCGAGACTCTTAGGCAGAGAAAAGCTGATTGCTGGATTTGCAGCATAGAGATTGGGCCTTCAGCCCATCTTAAATCAACTAATCTTTTCAGCCCTGTCTCGGCCCACTATTCTCCTTTTAGCCCAGAGAAGTTGTATTATAGTCTCAGGTTTCGATCAGTAGATAGCCAAAAGTCATTCTTCTCTGGTCTTCTTCATCTGTTCCTCTTTTCCCTTTTCGTGACCTAATTTCATCCTCAAACCTGATCTCAAGTGGTATCAGAGCCACTGCCTTGACGAAGCTAACTGCTGCCAAGGTATTCGATGGCGTCAGGGTCATTTGGGCAAGCCACCTTAAATCATCCCCCCATCTTCACCGGTTCGAATTACACCGCGTGGAAAAAACGGATGAAACAGTTCATGTGGGGAGTCGATGAGGAACTTTGGCTAATTGTTCAGAACGGACCGATCCCGATGAACATAGACGAGCAGGAAATCTGGTCTGTGGCGCAGAAGAAAAGCGCTCAGTTGAACCAGAGGGCCATGCATGTACTCCAGTCAGCAATGAATCCAGATGAAGCGGATCAAGTGGAGAACTGCGAGACTGCAAGAGAAATCTGGACCGCGCTGGAAAACACCTATGAAGGTACCTCTAATATCAAGGAATCTCGTATTGATTTGTTGATGCATGATTATGAGACGTTTAATATGGTAGATGGTGAAGGAATACATGAAATGTATTCTCGTTTTACTGTGCTTATTAACAAATTAAAAGGGTTAGGAAGAAGCTTTCAAATTAAGGACCTAAATAGGAAGATTCTTAGATCGTTACCTAAGGAATGGCTTCCTAAGCGCACTGCGATTGAGGAAGCTAAGAATTTAACGACTTTACCTATCAATGAGCTCATAGGTTCCTTGCTTAGCTATGAGCATGTTATTAAACAAGTTGGGCAAGAAGATGAGAAACGTAAAAAGAATCTTGCGTTCAAATCCAAAGCTGTGAATTATGACTCTGATAGTGAAAATGACTTTGATAAGGAATTTGCCTTAGTTAGCAAGAAGTTTCACCGTATGCTAAAGTATAAAAATGATCAGAAAAGATTATCTGATGAGTCAAGACCTACCTTTTATGATCGTAACAAATCTGGCTATCAAGACAGGCTGCTGTCACAGCAGACCAGAAATTCTGAAACAGGTCAACTGGAAAAGGAATCTCAGGCGTGCTACAAATGTGGAAAGCTCGGCCACATAAGGGCTCATTGCCCCCAAACTCTGAAAGCTAAAGAAAGAGCAATGAAGGCGTCGTGGAGTGATTACGACTCAGAACCTGAAGCTAACAGGTCTGATGAAGAAGCATTTATGGCTGCAGAACTGTCCAAGGTAACTAATGAAATGAATCTTCTATCAGAGAAATCTGATCAAGAAGAGAGAAAATGGTACTTAGATAGTGGTTGTTCACACCACATGTCTGGTAAGAAATCTCTTTTCACTTCTTTAAAACCTATGGATGGTGGTAGAGTTATATTCGGTGATAATGGCCATGGTAACATCATTGGGTGTGGAACCATTGGCCAACAGCCTCTGCCTTCTTTTCGTAATGTTTTGTTAGTTGATGGGTTGAAGCACAACCTTTTATCCATTAGTCAACTATGTAGCAATGGTAATCAAGTTGCCTTCAAAGCTGATCATTGCACTGTTGAGAGATTAAAAGATGGTAAAGTTCTGTTTGTTGCTAAAAGGGTTAACAACATGTATGTCATTGACCTAAATGACTTAAGTGCCTTTAATGAAACATGCTTCATTGTTTCAAGTCAGCAAGAGATGCTCTGGCACAGAAGGATGGGTCATATTAGTCTTCCTAAACTAGTAGAACTTGCTAAGTCAAACTGTGTTCGTGGGATACCTGTCTTGAAAGAAAAAAATGATTTCTTCTGTGAAACCTGCATTGCTGGTAAACACAGAAAAAAATCTTTCAAAGTCAAGCCAGATATCACTACTAAAAACACTTTTGAACTGATCCATATGGATCTGTTTGGCCCATGTAACGTGACTAGTTTGGGAGGAAAAAATTACGTGCTTGTTCTTGTTGATGATTATTCTCGCTTCTCATGGGTTTATTTTCTATCCCATAAAGATGAAGCTTTAAGAAAATTTAAAACTTTTGTTAATATCTATAGTGATCAAATCAAGACTATCAAGAGTGATAACGGTGGAGAATTTGTTTCTGATGAGTTTGAGATTCATTGCAATGAATCTGGGATCACTCACATTTTTTCTGCTCCTAGAACTCCCCAACAGAATGGGGTAGTGGAGAGAAAAAACAGAACCATAATTGAATGTGCTCGTACTATGCTCCTCGAATACAATCTACCTAAATTCTTCTGGGCAGAAGCAGTCAGCACTGCTTGCTATGTTATTAACAGAGTTCTTATTCGAAAAGGATTGGGAAAAACTCCTTATGAATTAATGAAAAATAGAACTCCAAATCTGTCATATTTCCATCCGTTTGGCTGCCCCTGTTATGTTCTAAATACCAAGGATTACCTTGGAAAATTCGATGCCAAGTCCGATAAGTGCATATTTCTAGGCTATTCAATTAAAGGGCAAGCTTATCGTGTGTATAATAAGAGATCTAGAAAGGTGGAGGAATCTGTTCATGTTGTTTTCAATGATACTAATAGTCTTGATGAGAAGTGTGAACAGGAACCTCTGTTATATGACATGCTTGAGATGATTCGAGGTCTTGAAGAGAGAAAACCTGAGGAAGAATCTGACAGCAGTGCAGCAGAAAACAGCTCTAAATCAAGAACTGAAATTTCGACTAAGGATCATCAGGACCCCATCTCAAATCAACCTACAGCCCCTCCTCACATACAGAAGAGGCATCCTGTAGAGCAAGTCATTGGTGATCTAAATGATAAACTTCGAACTCGAGGTAAGTACATACCTGGTCAATACGCCTTTGTGTCTCAGTATGAACCTAAAAATTATAAGGAGGCTTTAAATGATGAGGAATGGTTACTTGCTATGCAAGAGGAGCTCACTCAGTTTGAGTATCTCCATGTTTGGGACTTGGTTCCTTGCCCTTTAAATCAAGCCGTTATAGGGACAAAATGGATATTTAGAAACAAAACGGATGAACAAGGGAAAATTACTATAAATAAAGCTCGTTTAGTTGCACAAGGATACAGTCAAGAAGAAGGAATTGACTATGATGAAACGTTTGCTCCTGTGGCACGTTTGGAGTCAATCAGACTGTTATGTGCTTATGCTTGTTTTAAAAATTTTCCTTTATTTCAAATGGACGTTAAGAGTGCCTTTTTAAATGGTGATAT